CAACTGTTCATATGTTTCTTCCCTCTGACATCACACCAAAATGGTAGCTTCCAAAGGAAATGATGTTGCAGTAGCTTTAAAAAAGCAAAGGAACTGAATTACTTTATGAGTTTTGAATTACTTATTGTGAACCAGGAAGTTTAAATGCAAACGGGTTCGTGAAGGATTTAAAAAAAAAAAAAAAAAAAAGGTAATGAGATGTTTTGGCTTTTTTGGGATGCATTAAAATCAAACAAAATAGTTGTGTAAATTCTGATATAAAAGAAACAAACTTAGACTAATCTGAACACAAAATCTCCATGACATGATTTGAGGTGCACAAAAGTTAAGTTGTCGTCAGTACACAGAACAAATGACATACAGAAGCGTTTGTTAAAAAGTTTTTAAAAAAAAAAACAAACATTTGGATTCTAGTTTAACATCATGCCATTCAAAAACATTTTTTAAAGACACTTGTTGTGTTTATATTACTTCATAAAAAATGTATAGAGACTATACCCCCCCCACACATTTCTGTCCAAATAGCTTCCAAATGTTGATTGACCACAGTACACATTTCCACTGTGTAATTTTCCATCCCAAATGCACTTCTGAACTCTGTTTACATAGGGCTTCCCTTTGGCACTGTACAGTTTTAACTGGCATTTGTGGATGTAACTACGTATTGTGGTACTTGACATAGGTTTGCCAAAGTTGTCCTGAGCCCATGTGGTGATAGATGAATATCAATTCTTGATGCAGTGCCACCTGAAGGATTGGAGATCACAGTTGTTCAGCCCTTGTCCTTTATGCACTGAAATTGTTCCAAATTCCTTGAATCCTTTGATTATGTTATGTACTATTGTAGGTGAAATATCCTAATGTCTTATTTTACTTTGAGGAATGTTGTTTTTAAACATTTCAGTAATTTCCCTATGTGTTTATTGGCAAACTGTCAATCCTCTGCCCATCTTTCCTCCTAAAGGACTAGACTTTGGATGCTGCTTTTGTACAAATCATAATTACAATTACCTGTTGACATAACCAGTTTCAAATCACATGATTTTTACCTGATTACTAGCCCTAAATTGCTCCTGTCCCAACTTTTTTGGGAATGTGTTGCAGGTCTAAATGACTGGAAAGGATGTATATTTACAAATTAAATGAAGTTGGCAAACATAAAATATTTTGTGTTCATATTGTCTGCAATAAAATACAAGTCAAAGTAAACTTGGAAATCAAAAAAAAATTTTATTTTTTTTTTGCATTTTTTATACTGTTCCAACTATTTCAGATTTGGGGTTGTACAAGAAGCTCTAAATACAGCTATTTTACATAACCTGTAGACAGTGGTGGAAAGCATACTGAAAAATCATACTCAAGTAAAATTACCATTACTTGCCTAAAAATGTTGTGCAAGTAGAGTAAAAGTATCTTTTGTAAATATTACTCTAAGTATGAGTAAAAAGTAGACCTTTCAAAAGTACATGTAATTGGTTAGTATTACGGTGTTAAAAGCTGATGCATTTACATGTTATCTGTGCATGTGTGTGTAAACGTAACATTCTGTAGTGCATCAACTTATTGCCCAACAGGCACACAACATCATAAGAAGATAATATTAGGTTAGATTTGGGTTGTGATGTCAGGTGATCAAAATTCAATGTCTAGCCAGCGTCTAAGGACAACGTTATTTTGATGTCCAGTGATGATGACAAATTCTGTTAATATTTCGTTGATTTAAGTTTGTGTGGGAAAGTGACCAAAGGTACAACGTCGAGTCAACATTTTAAACCAACATCATATTGACGTCAGATGCTGACATTTATTCATCGGGTATGGCAACCAAAATCTAACATCTGATAGACATCATTATTTTTTACATCCACACATCGCTAAGCTGTAACATCATTGGACAATAATATTTTATTGATTTTAGGTTGAACATTGGACATTGATGTTGGCCTGACATTGAGTTCTGATGCCAACACGATTTTCATTTCCAAACAAACTGCAACGTCTACATCACGTTAGGGTACAACGTCAATCAGACATCATGTTGACGTCTTGTGCCTGCTGGGTGTTTAAGGCCATTTTGGATATCATACAGTAAACATCCGTCATCTTGTCATCAGTGACATGCATCTCAACAGTCTCTGGGTCAATGTGTGTAAAGATTTTGGACGTCTTCTTGTACACTTTTAATGCTGCAATTATGAAGCGCCCATGTCTTGAGGTACTTTTCTAATCCCCATAGACAAAAGATAAAAAATAGTGACTGCAAGGAAAGTGGAGTAAAAGTACCGATACTTTCATGTGGGGGGTCAGAACTCGAATTACATGTATGACAGATACTATCTTTCTACTTAATGTAATTTTCTGACATGTTTTTGCACTAAAAATGTTCAATAAAAATATATATATTTTAAAAAAAGTACTGATACAGCACTAAAAATGTACTCAAGAGAAAGTAAAAGTACACATTTTTAAAAATTACTTAGTAAACTACAATTTCTAAGAAAAACTACTTAATTACAGTAGTTTGAGTATTTGTAATTAGTTACTTTACACCACTCCCTGTAGACATAAAAACTTTACGAGCCAACATATTTGCTTGACTGTACAATTTACAACACTGGTGCTGCACATCATCATCATCATCATCATCATCATAACATTAAATAGTTACAATAGCCGGTTGATGCTTTAAACTTAATTTCTATTAATTTAAATTTTGTGAAATGAACAGAATGACATTTTTTATTATTATTTATGTTGTAAACAGGTTTTGAGCTTAGTTATTTTATGTATAAAAAAAACCTGGTACACTAATATTTATAAATGTTTGCCCACTTTTCTGATATCTTAGTTATTTTACATGTTTGTAACATTTTAGTTTGTTAGACATCATGAAGAGATCCAATCAAAAAAATAATAAAATAAAATAATAATAATAATAATAATAATAATTGAGATCTACCAGTGTGGAAAAGGTTATAATGCCTTTTGTAACTCTTTGGGATTGCAGTAAACAAATGGCAAAAACATGGAACAGTGTTGAACCATCCCACCCAAGAGGCCACAAAAGAGTTCCAAGAGTAAAACTACTGTTGAGAAAAAGAACATAAAAGCTAATCTCAGATAATACAGAAAATATCTTAATGACCCACAAGACTTGTGACAAAAGTTGAATTGTTTTGCAAGGCGTGGTTCCAATTATTTTGCATAAAAGTAACATTACATTTCTGAAAAAGAACATCATACCAAGAGAAAATTGTGGTGTAGATATTGTGATGGTCTGGTGCTGTTTTGCTTCTTTAGGTCCTTAAAGACTTGCTAAGATAAATGGCTGAATGAGAAAATATGCTGAACGAGAATGTTCAATCATCTGTTAGGCCCCGTTTACACTGCCAGTTAAATGTGACCCGATTCCAATTTTTTGTTCATACGTGACACAGATCGGATCTGTTTTATATGTGGAAATAAATCAGATATACTGTAGATCGGATATATAACAAAGCGACTGTCATGTAAACAGGCAGATCGGATTTATTGAGGCATACCGTTCTGTACATCATTAAACTTGCGACAATGTGGAGCTTCTCCGCGGTTTAATGACGTGGATGGAAGAGCATGTATAGAGAGACCAACGCGGTAAACAACAATAACCGAGAAAACATGAAGACACATTTGGCTCCCACCAGACCTGAGATCTCTCTCGTACCCACAAATCCCTCTGAATGGTGGTGGACATCATAAAGCATATAAACCATAAGCGCAAGCTGCGATGACGGCCCTTTCCCACCTCGTCTGCCTCAAAATCATTTTAAAGTTGGGCGAACTTCGTGTTGTAACTTTTGCTTTTTGCCGCTATTAATACACGCACTGCGAGCTACACATAGAACAACTTTATTTCCTCCAACAACAGTGCACACACAGGCAAAGGCTACATTTTCTAACCACACACACACACACACACATCAGGGCCATACCATTACATAAACTGCGTGGGGGTAAATCTGAACTAAACCATTCACTGCTTATACTACACTTCACATATTTCGCAGAGCTAAAAACAAGAAAACTTCTTCCATCGTGGCTACTGGCTAGTGTGGCACAGGTGCTAGAACCCGCCTTTATGCATGCGCGGCATCAGCAAGTGTAAACACATGAATTGGATATGAGTCACAATTAAAAAGAATGTGTAAACGGACAGACAAAAAAAAAATCAGATATAGGCAACAAATCGGAAATGGGCATCAAGACCTGACAGTGTAAATGGGGCCTTAGTGACCTCAAGCTGATGGGAACTTGGGTTTTGCAGCAGGACAATGATCCAAAGACAACCAGCAAGTCCACTTCTGAATGGCTGAAAAAAAAAATTAAAAATGAAGATTTTGGAGTGGCCTAGTCAAAGTCCTGACCTGAATCAAATTGGGATGCTGTGGCATGAGATTGGAGGGTTCATGCCCAAACCCTCCAATGTGTCTGAATTACAACAATTCTGCAAAGATGAGCGAAAATCCACAGTGCTGTGTCAGACTCATTAGAAGTTACCAAAAATGCTTGTTTGCAGTTGTTGCTGCTAAGGGATGGACTAACCAGTTATTAGGTATAGGGGCAAACACTTTTTCACACAAACATTTTCTTTGACTTTTTCTTTTTGTTTGACGATCTGAAGCATTCAAGTTGGACAAGCATGCGAACAAAATAAGAAATCAATAAGAAGGCAAACACTTTTTTTCCACACCACTGCGTCTGTGTATGTATATATGTTCATTCATTTTCTTTTCGGCTTAGTCCCTTTATGTATATATGTATGCATATATAATTTATAGAATTAATGTATTTTTTTATTTCATAAACAATAATAGAAAATATTCTGAACTCTTAAAAAGTTGTTTAAATATGAATATTTGTTTTTAAATGCATTGAATGAGTTTTTCCATCTTCATTTGTGTTCCTTTCATAAAGTACACTCAGCTTGTTAACGTGTGTTTGTACTTGTGTATTTTGGGCAGGTTACCACGTTACGCATGTCAGTTCATCGAGATGTGTTTGATGGTGACTGCAGATCATGGGCCAGCTGTATCTGGTGCACATAACACCATTGTGTGTGCTCGTGCTGGTAAAGATCTGGTGTCCAGTTTGACCTCTGGACTTCTGACAATCGTAAGATCAGTTGCTCTACATGCAAGACTACTGCTTCATAAATTTATAAAGTTGAGCTACAGTTCTGTGTGACCAAGAGTTTAGTACACTCATGTTAACCTTGACATGCAAGCTAACATTAAATGGGTAAACTGGATCATGTTACAGTTAATTAGTATTAAGAAACCAAAAATAAATGGATGTTATTAATTGTTATTGATTGGTATTGGATGTATTCCTATCTGCAGGGAGACCGTTTTGGTGGTGCTCTGGATGCAGCTGCTAAACAGTTTAGTAAAGCATTTGACAGCGGCTTGCTGCCCATGGAGTTTGTCAACAAAATGAAGAAAGATGGTGTACTGATTATGGGCATTGGCCATAGAGTAAAATCAGTAAGTATACAAACGAATGCATGCAAAATACACTGCATTACACTACTTTAGATTTTATATATTTGGTGTCACTGTGGTGCAGTGGGAAACACGATCACCACAACTTGGGCAGTTGGCATTTCTGTGTGGAGTTTGCATGCTCTCCCTATGTTGGCTTGGGTTTCCTCCAGGTGCTCCAGTTTCCCCCACAGTCCAAAGACATGCGGTATACTGTAGGTGAATTGAATTAGCTTCCAACCTTTAAAGGTTCTCCTCTAACCAAAAGCATTTTTTTCTGTTTGTGCCTCTGTGAAATGCAAAAGAAGAAGTGGATCATATACATCCATTGTAATTACTTAGAATAAACTTTAAATAAACACACCGTTATTGATCGCTGGTGTGCATGCAAATATTTTTATTATTAGATGTATCATTATTATTATTTCTGTGGACAGGCCTTCACTCATATTTACATATTCTTTTTCTTTGTAACAGATCAATAACCCTGATATGCGGGTGCAGATCCTGAAGGACTTTGTGAAGCAGCATTTCCCTTCAACACAGTTACTGGATTATGCTCTTGAAGTCGAGAAGATCACCACCTCAAAAGTAATGTTACTGCTTAAGTTATTTTAACAAGTTTTGTTGGGTGATCTTTACTTTCTATAATGTTTACATAAATTTTTCTTTTCTTTTCAGAAGCCCAACCTTATTTTAAACATTGATGGTTTTATTGGTGTGGCTTTTGTCGACCTCTTAAGAACATGTGGAGGTTTTACACGGTAAGAGTGAAAGATTGTTGTTTAAACAGTGTGGGTGAATGTAACAAGACACTAATAATAAAATGGTAATGCAGTCCATATTTCAAATTTTCTGGCCGATGAAAATATTTTACATTTTCTGTATTATGGACACAGGAAATACAAGTTTTTGTCATGACTCCAGTGATGCTATCCTAGCTATATTATATTACTTGATTATTAAGTGTTAAGTCTGACTATTATGTGTTTCTAGTGAAAGTTTTTGTTGCCATAGTTGCATTTTTTTTTTATTGGAATTTCTATTAGGTTCACCCAAATATTTGGACTAGATTTAAAAATTAACTGGAGCCAATTTGTTAGGAAAAATAATAAGATTCTATATACAAACTTCTAGATAAGAAGCCAGAATTTTGGGCAGTGTGCATTATGTGTATACAATATGAGAAATTCATTTGTTTTGCAGTGTAAACAGTTTCAGTGATTATAATGTGAATTGCATAAATTGTTATTTTTTATGACCAAAAATAGTCAACGACACCCTTGTTTTTTTCTCCTTTTTTTTCTTTTTTATTTACAGTGCATCCAGAAAATATTGATAACGCTTTACTTTTTCCACATTTTTTATGTTACAGCCTTATTCCAAAATGGATTAAACTCATTTATTTCCTCACAATTCTACACACAATATCCCATAATGTCAGTGTGAATATTTTTTTTTGTAATTGTTGCAATTTTATTAAAAATAAAAAACCTGAAAAATCGCATGTACAGCAGTATTCACAGCCTTTGCTCAATACTTTAGTGATGCACCTTTGGCAGCAATTACAGCCTCAAGTCTTTTTGAAAATGAAGCCACAAGTTTGGCACACCTATCTTTGGGAATGTTTGCCCATTCCTCTTCGCAGTACCTCTCAAGCTCTATCAGGTTGGATGGGAAGCGACCAGAGATGGTCAATATGATTTAGGTCTGGGCTCTGGCTGGGCCACTCAAGGTGAAGATGCCCTTTGGCAAATTCCAGGTGGGGAGTAGTTTTTTTTTCTGGCCACTCTACTATACAGGCCTGATTGGTAGATTGGTGCACAAATTGTCCTTCTGTAAGGTTCTCCTCTTTCCACAGAAGAACGCTGGAGCTTAGACAGAGTGACCTTCGGGTTATTGATCACCTACCTGACAAAGAGTCTAATGGAGGCCGCTGTGCTCATTGGAACTTTCAGAGCAGCAAAAATATAATCTGTAACCTTCCCCAGCCTTGTGCCTTGAGACAATCATGTCTCAGAGGTCTAATGCCTTTGACTTCATGCTTGGTTTGTTCTTTGACATGCACTGTCAACCCTGGGACGTTATATATAGACAGGTGTATGTCTTTTCAAATCATGTCCAATAAACTGAATTTACCACAGGTGAACTCAAATTAAGCTGCTGAAACATCTCAAGAATGAAAAGTGGAAACAGAATGTACCTGAGCTCAATTTAGAGCTTCACGACAAAGACTGAATACTTTTTATGATTTTTCACTTTTCTGATTTTTCAGGTTTTTTATTTTACTCCTATTGGTAAAAAATAGGTAGAAATATGCATGGGTGGTACTGTATGTAAAGTTGATTCCAAGATATGGTCTTAACTGTCTGAAATATAAATACCTGGTCTGTGTAGAGCTCATTTTATTTATTGTGAGGGTAAATTGTATTAGTGTATGTTTGTGAAAACTGTTTATGGGTTGCAGAGATGAAGCAGATGAATTTGTTGATATCGGCACTCTCAATGGAATCTTCGTTTTGGGACGCAGCATTGGTTTTATCGGTAAACCACAAAATTCTTTATCATTGTTAATATAATTATATAATTAGTTTGTGATTATGCCATGTTTTTACTAATCTCGCAATGCACAACAATATATCTTGGTGTATCAATATACTTGGTGTTGTAGAAAGTGCAAATTAAATAACAGGTGCAAGTGAGATGCACTAACCAAAAAAACATTGATGTGCCCTAAAGTCTAACAAGCTGAAACTTTTAAGAAGAATCTGACAGTCAAGAAAAATAGGGATTTGTCTTTGTGTTTTTTTTTTCTACTTAGAAGGATGCAAATAAAGTAATTTAATAATTAGTTGTTAATTACTCAACCTCATGCAGTTCCAATCCCCTTGAGACCCCAAAGCTCCAAGAAGAGGTTTGTTTGGCAAATAAACTGTATCGCAACTTTGTTCACATATGTCTTAGATGAAGGAGGCTTATGTCTTATATGGAGGACGAGGGAGCTCTCAGATTTTATCCAAAATATTTTTACTTGTTTTCCAAAGAAGTTGTCATCTGGTAATTAAAATATTTCTGGCATGGCAAGAATACAGCAATGTTGTCTGTTTCCTATTTTTTATTTTTTTTATTGATCTCACCAAAAGACAAACAAGCTTGTGTACTGTTAAATGTGATTAGTTATTTTACAAAAAAATTGTAAACTTGTAACTTAGAACTGTTAAGTTGACTTAATTGTCATATTTATGCATAGTTTATTCACTTAATAATTTTAGCGATTTGTTTACTTTACAAAAAAAATTTCAGTAAACATGTATTTTTTATAATGTGTGATAATTGCAGAGTGCATAGTCTATAATGTGTCTTGGTCATGAAATTTTACATGAGCCTTTTTCTTTCTTATTCTTAGTTGTTGTTTTTTTATGTTTGATTGTTGGTTTGTTTTTTACTGTAATCCCACAGGTCACTATCTGGACCAGAAACGTCTGAAGCAGGGTCTCTACCGACATCCATGGGATGATATCTCCTACGTTCTTCCTGAGCACATGTCAACGTAAACCGGAAACTTTTAAATATTTTGGGGATATATATTTTGATTCAGAAACATATCTATTTCATTACTTTATCAAAATGGAAAAGGGAGGGGTAAATTATTTAGTCATAACCAAAGAGATGTGGTGATAAAATACTAGCGAACTTGGTAACTTTCACAAAGCATGAACATTTTCAATTGAATTTGTAAAATGGCTGCTTATGTAACAAATATTTAATGTTTTCTAAGAACATCTTGTTCCCAACTCTACAATGCATCTTTCTTTACTCTGGTTAGGATTTAGAAATGAACTTCTATTAATAGAGGATGTTAGGGTGTCAATTCTAATTTGTATGAAAACACCACATCTTAAATATGCAAAGCACCAAATTATACATATTTATAAATATTATTTGTTACTAAATGTTAATACGCAAATTTTATTATGCCATCAACATTTATAATACAGTGGAAAAAGATTATAATGATACATACTAAAATACATAGTTCCAAAAAAAAATTTAATGAGATGCATGCTGCTACTTAACGAGATAACGAGAGACACACTGAACCAGGTGGAAGCAAATTTGCAATTCACAGTAAGCACATTCATTTACAAAAGAAAGGTGAATTTAAATCAGCTTCTTTGCTGTTGTTTTTATGCACCAAGATCTGTTACTTTTGAAAATAAAGTTCTTTATAAGTTATTATGTGTCATAATTTGTACATCTTTAAAGCACAAACAAGTTTGACTGAGTAAATTAAATTGTTTTAATGCAGACACTGTGCTTGTTAGGTACTGGAAAAGTCAACATTTACTGGAAATTTGTTGACCGGTGTAGAGAAATAGATACATTTTAGCTAAACTGTATGGAGTGCTAAAAAAAAAATACTGTATATTGATATATATAGTTGAAGTCAGAATTATTAGCCCTCCTTTAAATTTATTTATTTTTTTATTTCCAAAATGATGTTTAACAAAGCAAGGAAATTTTACGGTATGTCTGATAATATTTTTTTCTTCTGAAGAAAGTCTTATTTGTTTAATTTTGGCAAGAATAATGTCAGTTTTTAATTAAAAAAAAAAAAAAGAACATTTTAAGGTCAAAATTCTTAGTCCCCTAGCTATTTTTTACATCGTCTACAGAAAAAAAAAACATCCTTATACAATAATTTGCCTAATTACTATAACCTGCCTAGTTAACCTAATTCTTTAATGTCACCTTAAGCTGAATTCTAGTAAGTTATTAGAAATTAGTTATTAAAACTACTATGTTTAGAAATGTGTTAAAAAATAACATAATGTACCTACAGAACACTTGAGCTTTAAAAAATAGAAAATTATCAAATCTCTTTTTTTTTTTTTCTTTTTGCTAAACTACCTTGCCAGAACAAGAAATCGGTTGAAAGAATACAAAAATGTTTAAAGTAAACTGTTTAATTCTAGGAGACTTGTAAAATTTAAAAAAAAAAAAAAAAAAGTGTAGTGTTTCTTTAAGCGTTCAAGCAAAAAAAAATCTCAATCAATGATGTCACATTTCAAACATTCAATATTTATTATCCAGTCTCGTATAAAGCGTTGTATTCTCTCTCCAGCCAGATAGTAGAAAGTGAGAGCTTGTTTCAACAGTGGAGTTAAGTCTTTGCTTTATTGTGGTGTTTCTATTTTTTGTGGGTAGAAGACATGTAAGTCTTGATGTCTCCACATAAAAATCAGGTGGATGATAGCATCTAGGAAGATTGAGCTTGCAGAGGTCTGGTCACTCTCTCTTCCACTTATTCCATTTCTTTAGCAAGTCTGTAGGGAGTTTGGGATCATTCAAATATCTTGATTTAGACCAAAGCTTCTGAATAAGCACCTTGGTTTAAGTGGTGAAGGGAATAGAGAATCTGTGACTTTATAGACATACCTAAGTACATAATATATGTATTACAAACTTTAAGGCAGTGCCGCATTAAGCCTAAAGAAGGTTCCTAAGGATCTGCATGGTTTAGCCTCCCTTAGCTAAGATTGGGATCATTTTGTCAATGAGCCACTTGGCTTCTACCAGAATAGAAAGACTAAGGAGGCAGTTGTCCAGTTTTGTTTGTTGTACTTCAACACTTCCTCATTCCTAGATTGCTGGCCTTGAACATGTGTCAGCAGTGCAGATATAGCATGAAAGACACTATAGATTGTCCCAAACATCTGCCGTTTCTCCTCACAATGTGTTTCACCAAATAAACCTAAAGAGGGACCTATCTTCAGGCAGGATTATACTTGGAGGACCATACCACGTATATGTTCGCTAATGGCGACTACCTACTGCAGAAACTTGAGAAGAACCCTTGGCAGTGAGGCACCAAGGGTTGGACCTTGAAGAGAGAGGTACCCTGTTAGAAAAAGGAACAGTTGAAGATCAGCCTATATATTCTCTTATTCTGCACACGATGGTACAATATAAACCATGACTCATCATGTGCATGCTGGACTTCTGGAGGTACTTGGATGACGCACAGTGCATCCGAAAATTATTCATAGCACTTCATTTTTTCCACATTTTTTTATGTTACAGCATTATTCCAAAATAGATTGGATTTGCTAATTTCCTCAAAATTTTACACTCAATACCTCATAATGACAATGTGAAACAATTATTTTTTTAAATTGTTGCAAATTTATTAAAAATAAAAATCCTGAGAAATTACATGTACATAAGCATTCACAGCCTTCGCTCAATACTTTGTTGATGCACTTTTGGCAGCAATTACAGCCTCAAGCTTGGCACAAAATTTCTTTGGGAATTTTTGCTTATTCCTCTTTGCAGTACCTTTAAAGCAACGGTGTACAGCTATTTTCAGATCTCTCCAGAGATGTTCACTAGGATTTGGGTCTGGGCTCTAGCTGGGCCACTCAAGGACATTCACCGAGATGTTGTGAAGCCACTGCATTGATTTTTTGGCAGTGTGGTTTGTGTCATTGTCCTGCTGGAAGATGAACCTTCATCAAGTTGCCACAATCACTCAGCATGTTGATGAATTGGATCTTGCACTGGAGCTTGAATTTAACGTTAAAAAGACAGCTGTAATGAACTCTATCAAACAGGGGCAAACTGACCATTTTGCAGACTGGGCAGTTTCCTACTGGGCCAATGTACTTTTTGATGGGAGCTGATCATCTTTTTATGATCTGATTGGCCCATAAAACACTTAGCAGCCTATCGCTTTTATTTCTGCCTAATTAATTGACGATGCTGTGATCTGTGACACTCTGAAAGTAAGAATTTTTTTTTCGTACCTGTCCATGTGACATAATCTGCTGCCCATTGATTCTTTTCTTTATTGACATTGGGCTGACCCAATCACAAACTACCATTTTCCGCTCTGTGTGAGCGTGCAACGTTGGTGAATATTTCTCAAATTAGTCGAGAGCCATGCCTGATTTAAACCAAGGTGTATAGTTCTAATAATATTTATACAATAGTTGGGTCATTATCAATATAAAATGCCTTTGAGACATTGACATTTTTAATTTTTGATATAACCACATAGTTGTTGTATTAATTATTAGACCTTAGGCTGTAAGAAATTATTGTTGGTCAAGCTCCAGCATTTTTACAAATAATCTGCAAGCAGAAAAACAGTTAACAAACCTCAAATTGTGTCAAACCTGTCATGTAGTTTAAGTAAATTTTGATTACAATGTGATTATAAAATGTATATTTTCAGAAAGGTAATATGTCCCTTTACCAACCCAACTTTTTAGATTATGGAAAGTCTATTTATATTAATGAACTAATAGACAAAACATATATTCATTTATTCATTCATTCATTTTCTTATCAGCTAACCCCCTTTATTAATCTGGGGGTCGCCACGGCGGAATGAACCGCCATCTTATCCAGCATATATTTTATGCAGCAGATGCTCTTCCAGCTGTAACCCATCACTAGGAAACATCCATACACGCGCGTACATACTCTACGGACAATTTTAGCCTACCTAATTCACCTGTACCACATTTTTGGACTTGCGGGGGAAACAGAGCACCCAGAGGAAACCCATGCGAACATAGGAAGAACAAGCAAACTTCACACAGAAATGCCAACTGACCCAGCCGAGGCTCGAACCAGTGACCTTCTTGCTGTGAGGCGAACGTGCTACTTACTGCACCACCACGTCACCCATAAAACATTTTTTCCCAATATAACATGCAATAGTTGCACTTTCTTTTCAAAAGAAAACCCAAGATCTAATATATTTTGTCAAATTTTCAGACAATATTAACTGGCCCTTATTGGTTAATTAAAAAATCACAGACAATGTTTTGCTGAGGTTATAAATAATTTGTTTATTTTCATAAAAGTTGAACATAATGGTGGAAAACAAGATAACAGGTGAACATTGGCACAACAGGGGGGACAAAGGCTCATGTATTGCATCTACTGGTGTAGTATGTATCTGTATAAGTGTTGCAACATAAAACATTAACTAATAAACAATAAAATATTAAATACATAAATTGTCAATAGCAATGCATATGTCCACCCTGTCAAGGAAGGATTTGTGATAGGGCGGACAATGACAGGGAGGAAATTTTTGGCTAAAGATAGCATTTATTCAACACAGGTTGTACAACATTTGTTCAACACAGCAGGTAAAGTGTTTCCCTATATTAAGCTCTTTGTAGTTTAAAAGCTATATTTTTATTTTCTGATTTTGTTTTAATATCAATTAATATTTCACTATGACAGGGTGGACATGTTAAGCTTGACAACATTCAGCTTCAAACACAATATGAAGGGAAAATAGAAAACATAAGTATAGATACTTCATGTGTGCACATCAGGTGTTTTAACCTCCTCTGAAGAAATGCAAAATGGGCATGGGGATGCCAATGAATACATCAGAGGGTTTCTTAAAGGGGCATTGGCCATATCATGACAGGATGGACAGCAAGGACATGTGCAAAATGATTAACAATATTATGAAAACAAAATAAAAATATGAAAATTTGTTTTTTTGTCAAATAACTTGTTAAAGACAATGAGAATATTAAAAAAACTTTTTAGTTCGATCTAATTTACCAACTTTTTAGATTGAAGTTGGCTAAGCAGTGTGTGGGACATGACAAAATCACAGAAATTGACAAAAACAATTTTTAAACACTTATAATTCCATCTGCATGTCTTAAATCATGTATTAAAACAATTGTTTTTTAGAAGTTTCTGAACCTGTTGTTAACGTTTTGAATTCATACCCTACATTTAGAAATTTAGAAAAACATTTAAAAATTGCAAACTAGCTGTTATTAATCCTGTTTTTTAAAAAACCACAGCTTGAGCCCAAAGAACTAGTAAATTATTGACCTATTTCAAACCTGCTTTTTCTATCAAAGAAGTCGTATCTGCTCATCCAAGGTCCTTCCTACAAAGAAACAATAGGAAACAACAGTGAGGCATTTGATACAATCGATCATAATATTGTCCTTGATCGGCTTGAAGATTATAGTGGTATTACAGGAACTGCATAGGCCTGGTTCAGGTCTTATCTACTTGAACATTATCAATTTATATCAGTTAATAAAGAGGCATCATAAAGATCACAAGTACACTGTGGGGTACCACAAGACTCAATTCTTGGTCCCTTACCTTTTACACTACATATGCTACTGCTAGGCGATATCATTAAAAAACAGGGAATTAGCTTTCACTGTTATGCTGATGATACACAACTTTATATCTCCTTTCAACCTGATAACTTGTATGAATTTACAAAATTAACAGATTAGCTGATATTAAAAATTGGATAACTAAAAACTTATTACTAAATTCAGATAATCTGAGGTCTTGCTTATTGGACCCAAAAACCTCAAATGCAAAAACCTAGAACACTGTCTAACCCTCGATGGATTCTTAGTTCAGTCCTCATCTTCAGTCAAAAACGTGTGGGTGATTTTTGATAGCAACCTGTCATTTGAAGGCCAGATTTCAAGCATCTGTAAAGCTACATTTTTTCATCTTAAAAATTTCACTGTTTCAATTTACTATAATCTTGTATGTGAAGCTGCTTTGACACAATCTACATTGTAAAAGCGCTATAGAAAGAAAGATAAATTGAAGTGAATATTTCCCATATATGGCTTTTGTGCTTTAATAGAATAGGAGTTGGTAAGCAAATTCAAGGGTATGCACAAATGGGTAGCATTTTGATTGTATGCAGTTTGCTGCTCTGGCTCAAAATGCAGGGCTGATATTTTTTCTATCAAACTTGCCAATTTTCACAATCAAGCTTTGGAAGCATGTAAGCTTGCATTTCTCCTCTCACAAATCTATAATATGGAATTATTGGAATGTGCTAGAGAGTAAAAAAAATCTGTTTTTATTAAAGAATGGGTGGACAGAGGAATAATTTTTATTTTAGATTTAGTAAAAAAGGATGGTAACCTTTACTCTTACTTTGACTTTTCTGGAATTTAGTAAATGGATATTTTAATGGATATTTACCCAAAGTATATGATTGGGTTAATAAATCTATTTCTCCAAAACCATTACATTTGACCAGAACTTATGCTAATAAATACTTAAAATGTGAAATGCCTAAATTAGCTATCGGAGATGTGAAAATGAGTTATATTAAACGTAATAATTTGTACTTTAGAAGAAATTTTGTTAATAAGTTTTGCTATTTCTGTCCACCATTAAAATTTGGTATGGTATCAATATGTTCAGGTTCAAACTTATTCGCATGGGTGCTCTAGTTTCCCTCACAGTCCAAAGACAAGATAAGTGCTATAGGTGAATTGGGTACTCTAAATTGTCTGTGTGTGAATGAGAGTGTTTGGGTATTTCTCTGTGATGGGTTGCAGCTGGAAGGGCAGTTCATTCTGCGGTGGTGACCCCAGATTAATAAAGGGACTAAGCTGAAAAGAAAATGAATAAATGAATGAAAGAATAAATAACATGAAAGAATTTTATTTTTAAATCCTTTATAATTACAATCCCTGTATTTCTTTACTATGTAAACAATTCTTCACAATACACATACTTTAATTCTAATCTTAAAAAACAATAACACATTTATTCTTCGAATGCAATTGTGTAGAAAATCTTTGGGCAGAAGTATCTTGGCTTGTCTTCTCAGCTTACAAAACTTTTTTGATTTTAAGACAATTAATCTATTGTTTTTGATTTGGGAGTCAGACTGTAAGGAAGTGGACAATGTTGACTTTTTTTTACTCTTTGTGGCCTTTTCCATCTTCATAGATGTAGAGTCATTGAGTGTATGCCTAATTTTAGAATGTTTTGCATCGATTTGAAACTTCATTATGAATCTGGCTATTGTTAAATAAGAAACCAACTGTGCTGTTGAAAAAATAGTATAGCTATAAGCCTTACTTTTAAACGATCACATCCCTTTTGATACGCCTATATATTTATATATTTGAATAATTTACTTATATTGTAAGATATTTACGGTTAAAGTCAGAATTAGTAAACCCTTTGAATTATTATAATTTCTGTTTAACACAGACAAGATTTTTTCAACACATCTCTAAACATAATAGTTTTAATAACTCATTTCTAACAACTGAATTATTTGATGTTTTCCATGATGACAGTAATTATTATATATTTTTAAGACCCTTCTATTCAGTTTAAAGTTACATTTAATGGCTTAACTAGGTTAATTAATTTAACTAGAAAGGATAGGGTAATTAGGCAAGTTATTGTAATGGTTTGTTCTGTAGACTATTGAAAAAATATATAGCTTAAAGGGGCTAAACATTTTTACCCTAAATGTTTTTTATTATTATTAAAAAACTGCTTTTATTCTAGCTGAAATAAAACAAACAAGACTTTTTCTAGAAGAAAAAATTATATCAGACATACTGTGAAAATTTCCTTGCCCTGTTAAACGTCAATTGGTAAATATTTAAATAAGAAAAAATGGGGGTTAATAGTTCTGATTTTAATACTATGTTTAACTTATTTTGATTTATTTTCTTTTAATTTCATTTTTTCTTTAAGTATTAGTTATTCTTTCATGTATTGTTTTTTTTATATTTTGTTATGTAACTAGCTATACAATAAATATGTATTAATTTGTATTCAAGTCACATAATATTAGCACAAATTGCATGTTTTACGTATGCCCTGTTTCTAATGTTAAAAAATAAATAAATAAACCTTCTCGGATCAGCTGTTCACGCCTCACGTCAGTTCCTGTAACGTCAAAACGACTCCTGCGTTGCATGCTGTGTGTGCGCATGTGCGTGTTGTTCAGCTCTGTTTATGTTGGAGTGTGTGTGTTTGAGTGTGCTCCACCACCTCAACATACTGCGCACTTTACGAACCGAGAGCGCGGACACCGAGATGGCCGCAGCCGCTCCGAACCCGGAGGACGCCAGCCGAAACAGCAGCAGTCCAAGTACGCCGAGTGCTCTAATGGGAGACGGAGAGTCCGAGGAGGCCGAGGAGTTCGCCTCCGCTACTCACTGCTCGGAGCTCTCCCGGCGGCAGAATGAACAGCGGAAGCTCGGGCTCTTCTGTGATGTGACACTTGCGTTCAGCAGTGCTCCGGGAGCAGCAAACAACTTCGAATTCAACGCTCACCGCTCGGTCTTAGCAGCAGCCACAGATTACTTCACCCCTCTACTCGGGGGACAGTTTTCGGAGTCGGTGACGCGACGGGTGGAGATGAAGGAGTGGAGCAGCGAGGCAGGCCTCGATCAGGAGACGGTGGAGAGCGTCATACAGTTCATGTACACGGGCGAGATCCGAGTGAGCACCGCCAATGTTCACGAAGTGTTGGAGCTCGCGGACAGGTGAGGGATCATTAGGATGTGTCAAAACTCGGCGAGCTGCCTAACTTAATAAGACAACATTGGTATGTTTGGTCACTATACGTTACTCTCTGGACATCATATTAGGCGTAGTGTAGCGCATTTAGGCATCACCGACACCTTCAGAACAAGCAGCGTTTTGGCGTCGTTACTGCTTGCGGCATTTGTAGTATTATAGGCGGCGTTTGCAGCATTCGGGGTAAAGCTATCAAAAAATCTATTTCAGGTACGCAGCATTTGTTCAACATGGGCATATTCGAAAGCCCCGTCTACAAGTAAAATACATTTTAAATATGTATTTTTCCATGTTTTAGCTAATGCAGTGTAGTTCCACTGTATTCCCATTATTTTTTTAATATTTGTAATTTTACACAAATGTTTATAATGTTTGTTCACTTATTCATATGGATTGTGATTGAGGTCAAAAAGTTGCATAGCGTGAAATGAATATCTACAAATCCAGTGATTTAGTCTTTTGCCTGAATGTTATCACATGACATGTTAGAATATTTCATAACTGTTAACAAATGTCAGTGGTATATCTAAAAATGAATCTCGAATATTAGTTTGCAAAATGTAAATTGGTGATATTAAAATTTTATAGACAAATTTTAAAACTGATTATATGGCACTTATTTTAACAACACATGGGTAGTGCATCAAGAAACATTTTACTTTTTGTGTTTATAGAATGTAATTTTTTTGTAGCCCCTCGGTCATCTGCTGTTTATCAAAATAATTAGAGTATATTAATGAATTCACAAGACATAATACTACTAAGCATGGGGCTATAACTGTTTCAAGGTTTACCGTGGTTTGGAAAAGTCATGATTTTAAAACATTCAAAATTTTCTGCTATATGTTTCCTAAGGTATGTGTAAGATTTTTTATTTACTTTTTTGTTGTTTATTAGGACAACGATATCTCCAGCCGAAAAGATAACTAAAGATAATGATGTAAATTGTATCAGTGTTTTTGAAACTAATGAAGACAGTGGAAGTCAATGATTCACTTGAATTATTTAGTCTTACATGTTTACTGTTCCAAAATATTTTAAATGTTTCTTAAAAATAAAATATATTATGTTAAAAGGGAAAAAAGTTTTAGGGTTTCTTCACATCTGTGGTTCGGTTCATTGGTCCATTGTAGCATTTTTTTTTTTTTTTTTTTTGCTGATTTTGGGTCCTTTTCACATCACACTGATTGTTATTTTCCGAACCAGTAAAAAAGAACCAAAATGCAGTCTTTTGACAAAATCCCCATCACTCATTGGCCAAATGTTATTGAACATATTTCCTAAACTGCTTTTCGATTGTTTCGAATTAACATGCAGGGAAATGCCAGTGTAAGTCCCGCAAGTAAACTAACCGGCAGACACAAAATGTTGCTTTTTATCATGGAGGTACGACTGCACTGGCTGATTGTATACTATATAGATTGTACACATTACTTTAAACAAACTATACATTTTGAGAATGAAGTGGCTGGAAAACAACGTTTTAATTCATTGCAATGCGCCTTCTCCATTTACAAGTCATTTCAGGAGGAGTAGTGAATTAATTTAGCTAAACTGTGATATACTCATCTTACGGAAATATTACCAACGATCCATCAAGTAATGTTTTTCCCTCTCTCTCCCTGTTGATAAAGCACTGTCAACAAATATTTTTCCTCCACACCCCATAAGATGAGACAGTGCATTGGACTACGACAGCTGGATTAGTCCAAAAAGGCGCAGTACAGTACTTTTAGCGGTTGGGTTGCGGTTTTAGTTCAGATCATGTTCTCACCACAAACAAACTGCCCCAGGGTTTGTTTGAAAGCGTACTGAGACCAGCTTAAAGGTGGTCTCAGTACGTTTTTTTGATACGCTTTTGGTGCGCACTCGAGTGTGATTGCTACATTCACACCTGCGCAAATGAACCGCATAAAGAGGAAAAACAAACTCTACTGCGATTCAGCCAAACTAAATAAGGCAGGAATAAAAACACTCTTAGTTTTTTACCCAGACATATAAAAAGAAAATATTTTAGAGCAGTTATCACAATACTGTTAAACCGTGAAACTATGATATTTTTGTCTAAGGTTATCATATCGTCAGAATCTTTTACCAGCCCATGCCTAATACCACAAGCATGCATAGTCCATTTTGTTATATCTATGCAACAAATATATTGTTTCTATTTTACATACTTGCTGTACAAAGTAGGTTTAGGGATAATACCTAGTTATTACAGTTAATGACTATTGTAAATTCATCTGTACACAGCACAAGGAAAGTTGTTTTTGAAAATAATTTTCTCATTCATACATGCTGCCTAATGATTTGATTGTCAGTAACAAAACAGTCTTGGTTTATGGTATAAACTAGCAAAATATCAATCAATCGATGCTACATATTTTTACAGTATATTGTCACATATCCAAGTCCTAGGTGACTAACAAATAACGCAGCATTGCTGTCATATATTTGGTCTGTAACATTGTTTTTTTTTGTTGTAATAATTGTGGTTAAATCTAACATTCTGCATTTTCTTTTCTATTCTCAGGTTCTTGCTTGTGCAGTTAAAAGATTTTTGTGGAGAATTTCTGAAGAGAAAACTCAGCTTGGGCAACTGTGTGGCCATCCATAGCCTTGCACACATGTACACTTTGGATCAGCTGGCCTTGCGTGCTGCTGACATGATTCGCCGCAACTTCCACAAAGTCATTCAAGATGAGGAATTTTATACTCTTCCATTTCACCTAGTCAGAGACTGGCTGTCTGATGCAGAGATTACTGTGGATTCTGAGGAGGTTCTCTTTGATGCTGTGGTCAAATGGGTTCAGAAGAACTCAGAAGAACGTGTTAAGTATTTTGAGGAGCTCTTTCGTCTCCTCAGGCTTCCACAGATAAAGCCAACCTATCTTACAAGAGTGGTAAAAAATGAGCCTTTGGTTGCACAGAACGCAGCCTGTCTACAGCTTGTGTCTGAGGCTGTGGAAGGTCACGCAATCCGCTTTGAGAACCTCAAATCTGCAGATACAGAATTCTGGGCCTCATATATGGCCACGTTCCAGCCTAGATTTGGACAGAATATGGATGTAATCATGGTAGTTGGTGGAGTCTCTGAAGGAGGCGACTATCTGAGTGAATGTGTAGGTTATTTTGTGTACGAGGACCGCTGGGTCAATTTGCCACACATCCATAACCATCTGGATGGTCATGCTATTGCAGCCACTGATACACATGTATATGTGGCCGGGTCTATGGAACCAGGATTTGCCAAGACAGTGGAACGCTACAATCCAAATCGGAACACCTGGGAACAAGTTAGCAACCTCACCACACGTAAACATTCCTTTGGCCTCACTTGCATCAAAAATATTCTCTATAGTATTGGCGGCCATGGCAACTTTAGCCCAGGCTTCAAGGATGTAAGTGTCTATGAACCCGATCAAGACAAGTGGCACAACCTAGAATCTGCTCCTAAGATTTTGAGAGATGTCAAGGCTATTAGTGTTGAAGACCGATACGTTTATGTCACAGCACGAACACCTGTAGATACCGACAGTGATGATGGGTTGAAGACAGTCACAACGCGATATGATACGGACAGTCGCCAGTGGCAAGAAGTTGACTCCTTGCCACTTATTGATAACTACTGCTTGTTCCAAATGGCAGTAGCTTCGACTAATTTCTACCATACAGCATCTTGCTGTCCCAAGAGTTACACCAATGTACGTGATGATGTAGCTCGCCAGAAGATTAGTGCTAGAATCTCTGATGATATTCTTGAGAGCCTTCCACCAGAGGTTACCAGTATTGAAGGTGCTGCTATCTGCTATCTTGGTGATGATGTGTTTGTGATTGGTGGCTGGAAGAACAGTGATGATGTGGATAAGCAGTATCGCAAGGAGGCATATCGTTATTGTGCTGAGCGCAAGCGCTGGATGCTTCTGCCACCTATGCCTCAACCCCGCTGCCGTGCCACAGCATGCCATGTGCGCATTCCATACCGATTTCTTTATGGGTGTCAACGCTACCCAATGCCACAGAATTTGGCACGTCAGAGGGACCGTATGCAGCAAATGCAGCAGTTGCATCGTCGCACATTAACTCTACGCAGACAATTACAATCACAGATTGAATGCTGAAAGCTCATTAGAAAAACTGATAACACAGTCTCGTCGGCATTTCCATGATCCCATTCTTATTTAAATGTGCATTATTTGTTTACCTGAGACATTTCATCACTGGTAGAGTGAATGAAGTGGTTAAAGCTGGTAAAGAGTATTTTCAGTGTGACTGTTTGTATAATGGAACTATATAAATATGTAAAAAAAAAAAAAAGGGTACTTTTGTAAATATCCATACTCCTGAAACATTGTTTCATGGCCTTGCATGAATTTGCCTTATTCCTGTTGTCGGCAAGTTGCAGAACACTGCACATTGTTTAATTATCTTAAGTCACAACGTTCCATGAAGTGATGGATTTCCTGCTACAATTGTAGGTTTTTCAGTTGTTTGCTATACAGTGAGTGACAGTAGTTCAGCATTTTTCCTAGCTGTAATGTAATTTTCAAAGCCGCTCAAATGTTTTGACCAAACCATCTGTTACTACACAAGGAACCATCTTTATTCTTCTCCTTCTTGTTCTTAATTACAATGTTTTGCACTTGAATTTAATGCTTTCACAATCTTTATTATTTTTCAAAAATGCATTCCTTAACTATAAGCACTTAATTTCAGCGTTAGCACTAGTCTTAATCTTTTTTCTTATTAATTAACTATATTTGTTTATTTTGATATTTAAAGCACAGGGAACAAACAGTTATTCGATTATCAATAACACGTGTGACCTTACAGTGGCAAATACATAGATTTTCAAAATACAGTTAAGGGACCATTACCTCAGTTTTAAAGAAAATATCGTGCAAGCAGTTGCATAAAAATAATTTTCCCACCATTTTTTTTAGATTATAAGTTTAAGGTATTTCCAAGTCCATTTTTTCCGCTCTTTCATGCATTGCTTGTCAATAATTGTTAAGTTACAAGTTTTATTTTTTCCCCAGTGAACTGCAGTTGTACATTCCCGATTTTGATATGGTTCATACTGATAGTACTATCACTGCGTATGTGTCTTTATTACAAAGGCTATTAATAATCAAATTATTTTGATTTAAAACCTGTTTTCATCCTTTACATTTTTATTACGTTGTGCATTCCCTCTTTTTATCTTTGTATTTAGAAGTACTTTTTTTCTTTTGGTCTTTTACAATGTGATGTATTTTATTGCAAGAAATCTCATTGCACTTCACTGGGTGAAAACTAGTTGCCACCAACGAGTGAGCAGCTGATTGCCACAATCAAGATCAGCTTCAACATTTCATAATGTTCATCTGAAGAACATATAGCCGTTATTGCAGTCCATGCCAAAGTCTTAAAGTATGTCATCTTAGCTAAACTAATGTTCGCTTTGATGTTAAAATATCTACTAAATGCAAGATAGAAATGGCTTTTGACAATGTATCTGTAGCTCTTGTCTTGTGCAGAATGTGTCATATCATACAAGGGTAAAAAAATAAACATTTTTCAAACATTTTCCTGCATATGGAGACTGGAATCTTAAATATTGTATTAACTCAATGGAAAATGTTTTGTGTCTCTCATGTTGAGATGTGGTTTAATAGTGTTTAAACTCGGTTTTTTCTTTCTGCACAAAAGAAAGGGTTGTGTAAGTATGTAAATATGTATGTATGTGTGTGGGTCTGTGGAGAAGTTGTCTGACAATGAGTAGCAAGCCTGGGATGGTACTTTGTCCCACTCTCGTTGTAAAGTCTTTTAAGGACAGGTATAGTTATTTGCATGTGTTATAAAGTATGCACATGTTGTGAATCTCAGTGATTTGCAATAAATATTTATTAAGAATCTGATTCTGTACATGAGTAATTTTTCTGCCTAGCTCTTGCTCACCCTTTCTGAAGTGTAACATTGCATTTTAGAAGAACATTCACAAGAAAATGTAAGTAATAGACAGATTTCCTTTTTTTTTTTTTTTTGCAGCACTCTGTTAAAATGCAGATTGTCAAAACAGCTTTATTAGTGTAAATAGGCAAAAGTGAATATCAGTAATGATGTGAAATGTTGCATGATGTGATTCAACTGTAGGCCTGCCGTACAGAACCCATAAGCAAACCAGAGGTAATCATGGCAAGGAAAGCAAAAGCCTGTAGATGACAAACATAAAAGAAAACCATAAATGAAGCCAGGCTCATTTTGGGACCAGCTTTCCTTTGACCTGTCCTAAGCAAAGAAGAAGTAGACATACAGTTTGCTTATCAATGGCTTTAAAGAGATAGTTCACCCCCCAAAAATGTACTCAATATTTACTCTTCCTCAAGTGTTTTTTTTTTATTCTGTACAAGACAAAAGAAGATACTTTGAAGAAAGCTGAAAACCTGTAACTTGACTACAAAAACAAAGTTTTCTGTAAGTTTGGAACAAGTTTAAATAATTAAAGAATTTGCAGTTTTGGGTGAACAATATAAGCGCAATTAGCATGTACACTGCTCAGTACACCCCATACAAATCTTTCTTTTAAATTCATATTTTTAATTGAAAGATGTACAATATTATATGTGTGCATAAACTTCAACATCAAATCTGAACAATCAAAAACTAGTACACCCAAATTTGGTTTATGTTATTTTTTTAACATTTAATTGTACACTCAGAAAAAAGGTACATGGTGGTTCTTAAAGAACAGTTTTGTACCTTTGTAAGAGTTGTACCTTGTATACAGAAAAGACCCCTTATGATATTGTTCTGTACGTTTTATTGTACGACTGAATTTAATTGAATCTCATAAAAAAAAGGTACATAAGTGTTGGACAACTCTATTACAATAGCTATGAAAATAAATATTCCTGGAAAGGCAAAGTGATTTTATAAATAATTCCCATATTAATCCATGAATCATCATTTAAATGCACATTTAAAGAAACTCATAAACATAATAATTAAGTTCTATATTAAAAAAAACTGGCATAACAAAACTAAAGGTATTGTAAACTAAACAATTAAGGCATTTCTATTAAAACATTTGGTAAGCATTTTTTGATAAATACATTTTCATTGTTGATAACCGCACCTTCTGGAGCTGGCAAAAGTCCTGCATGTGCAAAGTGTTCATGCATACATTATAGTATTGTAAAGCTAATCAATCATTGTGCTTATCTCATTACAGTACTTTTGCATAATTACATTTCTATTTTAAAATCAAGTAAATTAATTAAACTTTTAAGTGATTATAAAGGTATTGTGTGAAAAACTGTTTTATATTGTACATGGGAGAATGTATTTCTCTAACATTTTTGAGTTTAGTGTAGTGAAATGTTTATTTAAAAAAATGATCTTTTGATTTGTGTTAAGAGTATTTTAAAATTAAGAGTATTTTATTTACTGTAAATGGAAAAGGTGCATTTACACAAAAAGAAACTTAAAAAAAAAAACATTGTTTAAAATGTATTTGATGTTTTATATTTACTGAAAATAAATTGGCACATTTTGGATATAGCAAAATGGTTTTAAATCGTTCTTGAAAAAAGACATTTGACACTAAGTCTGGTCACTGTGGTGGTGCCTTTATGGATTAAATTTGTACAATATTGTATGTGCAGGTCTTAAAAACTAAGGGTACATTTTGGTTTCCCATGGAACAAATCATGTTCTTTTAGGTACAACCTGCAATGGTACAATTCTGTTCCATAAAAAGGTATAGCCTTAGTGACAAGGGTTAGTACTTTCTTTGGCACAACATTGAACCATTTTTCTGTGTGTATTGTCTTTCAACTTCTAAATAGGTTTGTTGACTAAAATATTACTGTAATAAATGTCTGTTAAATAAATCTGTTTTGTTTAAATGTAGCAAAATACATTGCCTATATTCACTTAGAAATTGATAAAAATATTTATTTTCTGGGGTGCACTGAATTATGTTGAGTGCTTTAAGTAAAGCTGTTGGTCACTATAGCTACGGTTACCGAAAAAAATTTAGTTTAACGTTATTTAATGTCTATGAAAAAAAAATGCAATTTTACCCCCTAGTAGTTTGTATGAAAATCTCAGGTAAAACAAAATATTGGATTTTTCAATGAACAATGCAATTAGGATGAAAATTATGTTTTTACATATCACAGAAGAACATTATAATTAGAATGAACAAATCCATTATTCATAAAAACCACTAAAAATAGTTACAAAATGAAGTAAACTGTATCTTATTGGGACTACGTTCATCCACTTTTTAAAATCTAAAAGCATACTTTTAGGTTTAGCAATAGTGCATTCCAAGTGCACAAAAAGTTGACTATACTATAAAAGTTATGCTATGGATTGTGTTTTGCATAAAGAGACTTTCTCCCAAGTTCACTTAAATACTTAAATATCCAAGTACAATTTATCTCAATCAAAAATTAAAATATGTCTGTGAATATTTGGCCAATATTTAATGTATTAAAATTGGACAAAACACACATTTTTTGTAGTGATAGTTTCATTTCAAACATTGTTTGCAACTACTTAAGTTTGAAAAAATTTATTCAGTTGCGCAAATACATTTGGACATCTGAAATGATAAAAATACATGACCTGAAATGTTCAATTTTAATACTAGAAAACATGTTAGTCCATTCCTTTAGCCTCAGCATTGTGAGTCTCTTGCTTTTATTCTTACATGAAAATATTTCAAAGTTCTTCATGGCGCGTTTTCTCTGAATCTTCATCCACTTTTAGTTTTAGCTCATCCGCTGTGATCAGGCCATCAGCATTTCTATCTTGGTTCTTGAACATGTCCCTTATGACACTATCTGGATCTCGAACTGGTTTAAGGCGACCTTTCCCTTCTGATACTTGCTGTTTGATGAACTGTGAAAACTGGAGAGACACAACAGGAAATAAAGTATAAAAACTGAATCATTGCTTTAAAGCATTTAGTTCACCTTAAAATAAAAAAGAAAAATGCATCATTATTTACTCACACCCAGGCCATCATAGATATTTGTGACATTTATTAATTTATTTTCTTTTCGGGTTAACTTCCTTTATTAATCAGGAGTCGCCACAGCGGAATCACCCACCAACTTATCCAGCTTATGTTTTATGCAGCGAATGACCAGCTGCAACCCTTCACTAGGTAACACCCATACACTCTCACATTCACACACATACACTACGGCAGATTTAGACGGGAGCACCTAAACTTGCTGTAAGGTGATTGTGCTACCCCCTGCACCACCATGGCGCCCTGACATTTATTCAGACAAAAAGAAATTTTGGTTTTGGAAAAAACGTTCTCCATCTAATGCGCGCACACGCACACACACACGCACACACACACAGACTGACAGACTAACAGACATGTATAGTTTTTTTTTTTTTGTTTCTTAATATGGACTATTAAATGCTCTAATAATCTCTAATTAATCTCTAAATTAATTGGCCTAAAGTCGTGTACATCAAACCTTGGTGAAAACAATTGGGAAAATAAATATTTTTGGTGGACTATAACTTTAAAGAATTAGCTCCAGAATTAACATTTCCTGATAATTTACTCACCCTTTGTCATTGAAGATATACATTTCTTTCTTTATTTGGATGAAAATGAATGAAGTTAATTAAAAAAAAAAAAAAAAAACTGAATTTTTCAGAAATTTTTACAGAAGAAGGCAGTAGCGCTCTGTTGTGTAATATTAAAAGCAGTTTTAGAGAATCGTTAAAAGTGGCATGTACTGCATTGGTTTAATAAGTTAAATGGTGAATAGTAGGTACAGTATATGGTTTAGGCAAGTTCAAAAAACCTCCAGAAACGGTTTTTATATGCTCATACATTCCTTCATAAAAATACACCTATAATCAGAAGGTCCATAATTGACCATATTTGGATCAATTGTGAATATTAATGAGCTCCACTCCACTCCAGCTCTAACAGACAGACAGAAAGACAGAAACACACACACACACAGCATGATGTACGCTGAACAGACAAAGGAAGTACAGGGGTTGGACAATGAAACTGAAACGCCGGCTAATTTAGTGTTTCTTGGCTAATTTTGACCAGCCTAATGTCCAATCTTTATTAATTGCACATTACACCAATAAGAGCAGGGTGTGAATGTTTACTTATCAGCATAATAGCACAGCATTGCTTAAAACATTGATATGTCACTCTTAGTGTTGTGTGCATTGCAGAGTTCAAAACAGGACAAACTGTTGGTGCGAATCTCCCTGGCACATCTGTGACCAAGACAGGAAGTTATCCAAGGTAATCTCAGCATACCACCTAGAATCATGTAGTGACCTGGCCACTATTCTGTAAAAAGGAATGACTCAAAATCCCTTTGGCTACTGTGCAGGACTGTATTGGTCATTCCCAAAGACGAATTAATGTTGTATTGGCAACAAAAGTAGGCCCTGCCTACACCATTCTAATAAAGTATTGTGATCTAATACATGTTTACTTACATGCATTTACATCCTTGTAGTAAAAAAAGAATGGTACTTTTAAAACTTGAACAAATTTTTCATTAATTAATTTTATTAGTATAATTCTTATTAGGCGCTATTAAATGCTTAAAAAATTAGGTCAATCCACAGTTCTTTGAAACGTTTAATCGTTTGCAAATATTTCCCAAGTGATGTTATGTATTTACATTGTATAAATGTATAACCTGTAAATCAGTTTGAACATGCTTTGTGTTGCTCAGTAATGCATAAAAACGTTTCTAAGCATCCTGTTTTCAAAATAAAAGTCCCACATACATAGTGATGATCATTGTTGTCTCACTTGGAAATGTGGCTTATCAAATGCAGCCTGAGGTGTGCATATTAATTATCCGAGAGCTACATATAAGTTTGTGCTTTCCTGATCACACAGCTTTTGTCAGGTCCGGATGAATGACATGCCAATGATCAGCGCATGGCCAGTGTGTCATGTCTGCTTTGTGTTCCTTGAGTGGCCTTTTTTACACCAGGGTTTTACACTTATGGAGTTTACATGATATGGAGGAAACAATGGTGTCTAAGTCTTATGGTATTAATTTGGAAGGTTTGAGCATGAGCCTTTTTAAGGTCATGCCACAGCATCTAAATTGGATTCAGATAAGGACTTTGACTAGTCCACACCAAAGTCTTTATTTTGTTTTTCTCCAGCCATTCAGAAGTGGACTTTGCATTGGATGTTCTCCTTTAGGATATTTGGGTACTCAGCAAAATTCATGGTACCATTTATCATAGCAAGTCATCCAGGTATTGAAGTAGCAAAACAGTCCCAGACCATTACACTACCAATAACACATTTTATTGGCATCATGATCTTTTTTTTAAACGCGGTGTTACTTTTACACCATACATAATGGCACACACACTTTCCAAGTAGAGTATTTTCCCAAAAGTCTTGCTCATCATCAACATGTTTTCTGGCAAAACTGAGATAAGCCTTTATTCTTTTTTTCTCAGCAGAGGTTTTCATCTTGGAACTCTGACATGCAAACTATTTTTACACAGACTCTTTCTTATGGTGGAGTCATAAACACTCACTTTAACTGAAGCAAGTAAGGCCTGCAGTTCTTTGGATGATGTTGTCTTTTGTGACCTCTTGGAGTTGTAGCTACAATCTTCAGGTAATTTTGGTCACATTTGTAAATAATTTGTTGACACGAGTTGAGACTTTTCACAGGGCTATGTATTTTTGTATTTTGTTTTCTCTTAATAAAAACTTCATTTAAAAACTGCATTGTGTATTTATTTGTGTTCTCTTACTAATAATATTCACATTTGTTTGATGATCTGAAACATTGAAGTTTGACAAAAATGCAAATAAATAAATATAAATAAAAGTAAGGGGGCGAATACTTTCTTCACATTACTGTATGTTTTTATACATACCAAACTACAATTATGCATGTATTGGTTTCATGTTTTGTTCTGCACCATAATTTTCAAGATCATAAATTAATAAATACTGTATGTTAGGAAGACTTGCTGAAAAGATAAAATTTTGTAAACTGACCTCATCTAATGGGACCTGATGGTCCTTGTTGATGTCTAGAGCCTCGAATGGCTGAACTGGACTATCTTGGAGCCAAATGAACAGGTATCCTTCAGGAACCCCCTTTTGCAGAGACAACAACTCCAGTTCAAAGCGCAGCACTGCACTTCCAGGAACAATACCAGCTAGAAAAATAAGAAAATACAAAATAAACATGCTCATTTATTAGACATTCGGTTGACAAGAATACAGTTAAAGCAATCTCAGCATTGAGTAAAGAATGGCGGTACATCGTGTGAGTGTTTTTTTATAATAAGCGTGTGTTTGCTTGGGTTTTGTTTTGCTATTCGGAAATAATTTCATCAGTTTTTGCATTTACGTTCGCTAGTCAGAAATGAATATTTCATCAGTTGTTAAGTGAAAGCTTTTTTACACTTAAGTTTGTTAATAGGAAAGATTTAATTAATCAGTTCAGTGAAAATGTTTTCGCATTTAAATTATTTAGAAAGGATTATTTGTTCACCTATTTAAATTTAAAAGTAATTGTTGCATTAAACTCCAACGGTACCTGGACTTCAGGTAAATTAAGCAATTTAAGTTTAAACTGTGTGTCAGAGGAAAGTATTTCTGATTTGAAAATAGTAGCCATTCTCACTCATTCACTGATTCTGTGAGCTGGAGGCTTTGTTAAGAAATTAGTTTATCAAAAGAGTTTAGCACCGATTAGTAGAGCTTGAGACAGTGAAGCTTAATAATAAAATAATAATGCCAAAATAAGCCTATATACTGTCTATATTTAAATTTGATGGTTTATTTAATATTTAGTTGTAATTTATTAGAAAATCCGTTACTCATCAAGATTAGGCTTTGTGTTTGGGGAGGAACATTAATGAATCCACTGTAGATGGATTTAGCGTAGTCCTGCACTTACTGAGGAGCACTGAACACCCTTTCACTGCTGCTGCTACTTGCCGGGATGCATACTGTTCAGGCTAATTTAGCATGTTTTGGTTAGGATTGTTTGTTCATCTTTCACCAGCCAAGAACATCAATTTCATTTTTCATGACAGCAGTTTCAATGTAGCGATTGACCTCGTCATCTTCCCTGTCAGCTTGCTGTACATTGCTGTTTAGCTCTCTACCATAATATGCAGTGCATGAGCGACCCCTAAATACAATGGCGGCTACAATGACCGTTCTTTTTGAACTGGTGACTGGCCTGACCGCAGTCAAAATTCACTCTTTTTGACTTCTCCGTCATCATTCACCTTTGCAGGGATGGGTTGATGTCGGATTTGATTACTTTCTCACTGTAATTGAAATGCATCACATGACTGTTCATTTACCGCCCAAGCCTGGCCCGACCCAGTCTAAAATGATACAAATTGAAGCCGAACCCATTGGGTCCCGTCAGGTTCGAGCAAAGATCTTCAGCACTAGAAGTGACTGGCTTTCTCATTTCAAATGATTGTAAATACTCCAAATTTGCGGACTTTACCAATAATTCCTGTTTTGATACCATCCAGTCTCTTTCACTTCTGCTACATTTCATATTTTGGTCATTTACTGTCCTCCTGGTCAGTTGGGTGCATTTATTGAAGAGTTACATGGGTTGCTGTCTTCATTCCCCAAGAATGATAGCCTGTTTGTACTATTAGGTGACTTTCATTTAGACAAACCATATGCTACAGATTTCCACTAACTCATTACATTACTCAACTTGAACCAGCTCACCGCCACATACCCACATAAATCTGGCAATCAACTCGACCTTATCTACACAAGACATTACAGTTCTAAGAGATTATACGACAGCACTCAAGGCAACAGAGAGAACATGGTGCAAATCAAAAGCCCCCACGGACCCTTAGCAGATATCAAGCCCAGCTTGTATCATTAGCCTCCCAACTCCATTCAGCCAGACACGCACAAACCAATCAGGACATTTAATACTCTGCTGTCTCCTCCTCCACCACCTCCTTATCAGCATCAGCTTTTTCACACAAGCATGCACGCACGCACACACAAACTCAAATTAGCAGTCTGTTACCCACCATGTCCAACCTAAATGTCCATTAAATAACAGCCTCTGAAGGAAATTAACTCTCACATTCTCCTATTTTTCTGAGGAAGAAGAATCCAGACTTCTCCACTGTGCCCCAACCTGCCCTTTGAACCTAATCCCCATACACATCCTGCAGCACATTTCCCCGGCAATAGTGCCAGCACTAAAACACATCAACACTTAAAAAACCTTAGTGGTTACAGACCAGTCTCTCTCCTTCCTTTTATTGTCAAAACACGTGAATGGGTTTCAACCAAATTTCCACATTTTTAACAAATAACCCACTGGATGCTAACCAACCAGGCTTCAAATGTGGGCATTCCAATGAGACTGCCCTACTCTCAGTCACTGAAGCCTTGCAGATTTCCAAAGCAGGTTCTAAATTCCATTCTGTTTTTACTGCACCAATGCTTTGATACAGTGAATCACCAGATTCTACCGTCCACCCTCTGGAATCACTGGAACCCCACTCTGATGGCTGGAATGTGCTGTATTCTTACATTCCGAGCCCAAGCATGCCTACATCATCGATGATGCGACTGTTCAGTTAGGAAGAGAAGAGCTATCACTCAGTACAGTGGAAATATCTTTAGTTATATCGTTTTATATTATTTTAAGTTGTTTGGGATGAAGTGACACATATTAAAATGTTTTGTTGAACAGATCCACCACAACAAAACTATGACAGTTTGTGTTCATTAAAAAGTAAGAATGAATAACAAATCCATTAAAAACAGTCCCTTACAAGTGATGTTGCATCTTTAGTTTCATACTCGGGTGCGCGTTGCACTTACACTACAAGCGTACTGTGCCTAATCCTAACCGAACTGCGCTCTGAACCACCTCTTCCACCTCTTCCTCATCTCCACACATTCAACACAATTTGTCAATCCAACTGGGATCATCTACTATTACCCCATGTAATTTAGTAAGGAATCTTGGGGTAATCCTGGATGACCTCCAGTCCATCAAAGAGTAAATTGCTAACAAAGCTCAATCACGCAGGTTAGCAATTTTCAATTAAAAAAAAAAAAGAATCAGACCTTTTTTAACAGATCATACTTTTGATCCAAGCTTTTGTCATTTCAAGGCCGGACAACTTTGATGTACTTCTAGCTGGACTCACATCTTGCATCCTTACACTGCCGCTCACCTGGTTTTCAATGAGCCCAAGAGAGCCCATGCAAAACCTCTCTATATCTCTATACATTGGTTACCAGTCAAGGCCAAGTCAAGTTCAAATCACTGATGTTTGCTTGCAGAACAGCCACTGGTACTGCCCCCGCTTACCTCCACCTGCTCCTGAAGGTCTACATCCCATCCTGGAGCCTCCAGTCGGTAAATGTGCGCCGCCTTGTGGTACCATAATCGAGATGCTATAATCTATATATATAAACCTTTTTATACAATGTTCCTTGCTGGATCTTTACCCTCCATTACACCACAAGCCAGCCTCAAAACATAATGCATTTCTCGCACAGGTAATTGAGTTTGACAAACCATCTGTCAAAAACACAGTAATTTATCTCTCGGTCTTTTTAACCCACACTTGCCCCATTTTGCACATTTGCACCAACACTCTTAAGATCACCTAACATTTAAAAAAACAACATTGTAAATTTATGAGGTGTACTTCACACAGGTGAGTGGGCTTGACAAACCACCTGTAGAAACACTTCTCAAAAAAAAGCTTGCTGGTTGAATAAAATTTACTAAATCAGAATAACTTAGTCAGACTTGACTACATACTGCTGTAAACGTTACTCAAGATGTAGGCTATATCAAGAGTGAACCAAGGTACGTCAACAACAACAACAACAACAACAAAACATGCATTATACTTTTATTTATATTATTTAATTCATTTCTCTAACATTTGAAGAATATTGTTTTATTTTTCCTATTAAAATGTGTCCCTCGTGGCATTCTGTGGAGGGTGCTCTGGGAGTTTGGGGTCAAAGGTGCTCTGTTAAGGTCTGTCTCGTCCTTGTATGAACAGGATAGGAGTTTGGTTTGCATTGTCGGCAATAAGTCAAACTTGTTTCCAGTGCATGTTGGGCTTTGGCAGGGCTGCCCTTTGTCACCAATTCTGTTCATAATTTTTAAGGACAGAATTTTTAAAGCGCAGCTCTGGGCTGGAGGTGGTCCGGTTCGGAGACCACAGGATCTCATCTGTTATTCGCAGATGATGTTGTTCTGGATCATGGATCTTCAGTCTGCTCTGAGGCGGTTTTCTGCTGAGTGTGACGTTGCCATAGTGTTCCACCAAAAAAGGTGGCTTGTCATCTCCAAGTTAGAGGAAACTCCTTACCCCAGGTGGAGGAGTTCAAGTATCTTGAGGTTTCGTTCACGAGTGAGGGAAGGATGGAACTTAAAATTGACAGGCGGATTGGTGCAGCGGTAGCAGTAATTCAGTCAAGGTATCAGTCCGTTGTGGTAAAGAGGGAGCTGAAGCGAAAGACAAAGCTCTTGATTTACTGGTCAATCTATGTTCCTACTCTCACCTATTGTCTTGAGTTTTGGGTCATGACCGAAAGGACAAGATCTTAAAGACAAGCGGCCAAAATGAGTTTCCTTAGCAGGGTGGCAGGGGCGCACCCTTATAGATAGGGTGAGGAGCTCTGTCACCCGAGAGAAGTCAGCTAAGGTGGCTTTGGCATCTGTTTCGGATGCCTCCTGGACGCCAACCTAGGGAGGTGTTCCAGACATGTCGCACCAGGAGGAGGCCTCAGGGAAGACCCAGGACACGCTGGAGGGACTATGTCTCTCGGCTGGTGGAAGAAGTCAAGGAGGAGGAGCTGGAAGAAGTGTCTGGGGGGAGGAAAGTCGGGGGTTCTCTCCTAAGACTGCTGCCCACACGACCCAGCCCTGAATAAGCGGTTGAAAATTAATAAATGAAAATGTGCTAAATTTAGGATTATTGGGGTAATTATTTCAGTTTTCGTTCTGACCTCCATGCTCAATTGTCAAGCTACACCTATGGTTAAAGTAAGATGCCATAAAGATATTTCACAGAGTTTTTGTTATATAGTTGTTTATGTGGAAGGTTAAGGTTGTTGTAAATTGCAGATGTATGGTTGGGTTGAGGACCTGCTAGCAAGATTATGGAAGTGTAAAAACAGTGACATGTTTTATTTTTGGGCTGTCAATACAAACATTATATATTTACAAACAATAAAACATTATGTATTTTATGAAAAGTTATTTTGTTTGCTAGTATGGAAACACTTCATGTTTAGTCTGCTCACTTCAAAAGTATTGTTGTGTATCCCAGTTGTAAGAGCAACAAAAAATAACTTGACTTCTAGTTAATCATTTGGAAAAGTCGCAGAAGGTAGATTTTTCAGATGAACCTCTGTTGAACTGCATCCCAATCATCACAAATACAGCAGAAGACCTATTGGAACATGACAAACCCAAGATTCTCAGAAAATTCAGTCTGGTGAAGGAAAAATCATGGTTTGGAGTTACATTCAGTATGGGGGCATGTGAGAGATCTGCAGAGTGGATGGCAACATCAACAGCCAGAGGTATCAAGACATTTGTGCTGCCCATTGCATTGCAAAACAAAAAAAGAGGCCAAATTCTTCAGCAGAATAGTGCTCCTTCTAATGCTCTGTGCACGCTATTTGTGCTTAGATGCGTGAACATTGAGTTTACTCGCTTCATTCGCCAATGTGCTGAAGTTCAGATTTTCGTACTTGATAATACTAGCATAAATCGTGCAAAATGCTCAACTCACACCGCTTTATTCATGCAAATCGCTTTATTTGCACCGCCTCATTCATGGATATCCCGCAGCAGGATTTCTATTCGCAGCTTTGCATGACTTAAATTGTAAATAACTCGGGCTTGACGCTCTTCCGCATCTGGTGTGATTGCAGCATTATTCTTCAGCCTCCACATTCAAAGTTCCTGAAAGCAAAGAAGCTTAAGGTGCTCCAGGATTGGCCAGCCCAGTCACCAGACATAAACATTATTGGGCATGTCTAGGGTAAGATGGAGGGGGAGATGAATCCAAAAAAATCTTGATGATCTCTGGGAGTCCTGCAAGAACGCTTTCTTTGCCATTCCAGATGACTTGATTAATAAATTATTTAAGTCATTGCAGAAATGTATGGATGCAGTCCTCCAAGCTTACGGGAGTCATACACAATATTAATTATTTTTCCACTGCACCATGACTTTATATTCCATATTGTACATTATTTCTGTTAAGTGACAAGACTTTTGTCTAAGCAAAGTCAGACCTTACTATCCTAATTAAACAATTAAAAATCAAGGCATGATCATATTATGTTTTGATGAAATAAACATAATCTAGAGGCGTTTGCCTTTCATATAAGCCACTTCTGATACCAAATGATCAACTAGAAATCAAGTTATTATTTGTTGTTCTTAAAGAGCCCATATTATACATGAAATAGGGTCATATCTTGGTTGTAAGGGTCTCCAACAACAGTTTAATATGCAAGCAAGGTCAAAAAACACTTTCGTGGTCTTATAATCTGCATTTATTTTTACCTAATTATCCTAGCGACTAGTGTATGAATCGTCCAGTGATTCATTTGTTCCCAAACCCCTCCTTAACGCGAAGCTAATCTGCGCTGATTGGACCAATGACAGTCTGTTGCGATTGGTCGACTGCCTTCAGTCAGAGAGTGAAATGCCAAACAGCTAATCAGCAATATAAAAGTAATCACAGTTCATACACGCTCGATAGTGTAGGCGTGGATTTTAGCTGCCAGTGGGTCAATGTAAATACAGACTATGGACTTGAAAATTCAGACGACTAACTATTTTATTGAGCAAAAACTCCAAAAACAGTTGAGGAGATCTCCTAGCTTCTCACTCTGCTCTTTTCACAGACACACACACACACACACACACACACACACACACGCACACACACACGCACACACACACGCACACACACACGCACACACACACGCACACACACGCACACACACGCACACACACGCACACACACGCGCACGCACACACGCGCACGCACACACACACACGCGCGCGCACTTAACCCTGCTCCGGACAACAACGCACGCACACACACACACACCTCCGGACGACAGCGCGCGCGCGCGCACACACACACACAGACACACACACTACTCTTCGTCTCGTCCACGGAGCTCTGTTAACAAAGCAGCACGCGTCGCGTTTTTAACGTGACTTTGCACGCGATAAGAGAATATAGCCAGTTAACCTGATAAAGTATACGCGGTTACAAGTAACAAATCACAACTAAATACATTTGCAAGCTGGAGTCAACGAGGCAACTTTAATCGCACGTACTTACACTTGAGAAATGGAGGAAGAAAAATCCATCCTGACGTCCATCAGTAAGTTACTCTTTACTGATCCTTCCTTTAACAAACGCTGATGACGTATTCTTTGTAGCATGTAGTTTCCAGAAGTTTCCAGTAGTTTCCAACTGCTTGGCTATAATGCTGAGGTTTCATCTTTGGGTAGAGACTCAATATATCCATCTGCAGTGTGACTTCAATCGACCGGCATGTTTGTGTGTGTGTGTGTGTGTGTGTGTGTCTGGGTTTCTGCGTCAGAGGGCGGGGCCTCAGGTTTGAAATCTCCCGGGTTTGCGCGTGCACGTGAATAACTTGGTTTCGTTCGTACGTCATGGCGAAACACCTAATGAATCGGTATCAAGGCGACTCGTTTAAAGCACTATGAGTCGACTCTTTTATAGATGAATCAACAGTTTTAAACACTGTACACTAACAGATTTAAGCCTTAGCAGGATACTTCACTTCACTTAGAGCTGTGTTACACACTACATGGAGGGGAATTTTCAAAAACCCATAATATGGGCTCTTTAAAACCCTGGATAGGCGACAAGACTTTTGTCAGGTAGTGTATGTACAAAAAAATCACATGAAGGAACACACTTATAGTATTATAAAAATGCAACTGTTAGCATTTTTTAAAACTGCATTTTAAAATAATCTTGTAAATGTCTATTTAGTTATCCTCATAACAGACCAAACAATGGAGTAAATCTGGGGCTTCTAATTTAGTGCTAAAATTGTAAATTATGTACAGAATTCTCATAATTTTACTTCGAATTAAACTTACAATGTAATTACTTTTTGTTTTTGATTGGCCAAATAGGTACAGGTACAGTATTGGTCCATTATCCAAGCCAAAAGGATGAACACACAAACACAAGACAAGACATACCTCCTTTCTCTCCATGTCCAAGATGTGGTGGTACGATTACTGTTCGTCTCTCTCCTACACACATATTCCTAAGCGCCTCATCCAGGCCATCAATTATTTTATCTCCTCCAAGAAGCACATTCTGTGGCGTCTCATAGTCATGTCTATAATGATCAGAGTTAAATAATGACTAATGAGAGCCAAATCACAAAATGGTTAACATTCTCTTAGACAAACGATGAAGAAACTCACGATGAAAAGAGAAGCGTGCCATCTAACAATGAGCAATTGTAGTGGTACTGAATAAAGTCATTCACTTCGCTGCTTTCGTTACAAGCCTCAGATCGATGCAAAACATCCACCTGTACAGGATCTTTGATGTTGTGGAAGTCTATCACGTGGATGTCAAACACCAACACAGCTGAACCTGGGATGTCCTTACCTGTTTAAAACAGAGCTACATTTTTTACATCGCATTTTAAAAACATGAGAACACTTTTTACTGAAATCAACATCACAATAAAAATTAGAATTTGCTAGCTGTATGTTCTGTGTATTTAGTACATATTGTGTTTGTACATAGTTGTGGCATAAATATGAAAACAATTTGAAATATAGCTGCAAGCAGCAATTAACGGGGGTCAAGCTGTTTAGCAGGATAAGGTCATATAGCAGTTAGGACGCCTGTAAGTAGTTTATTCGACAACGAAATATACGATTAGAGTGTTAGAGTTTATAGATTGAGCTAACAAATGTTTGATTAAACACTCCAGAGAAGCAACTTCGATTTTTACATATTGACAAATTTTTAATGAACAATTCGAGTGACCGCTTTTATGTCAAAGTGACCAGTATAAGCAGCCCTATGATATAATGTGTAGATCGAGTCATGGCACCTTAGACAAAGACACGGCATGTCAAATTTTAAGTTAATCAGATAAATGGTTACTCAGATACAGTGATTTTACAATGTATAGCACCACCATGTGGCCAATGTCTACGAATTTCATGCTATGACCTCTGATTAACCTCTTGCATATGTGTAACAAGTTTGATGTAGATATTTCAATCCATTCATGAGTTATGGCTATTTTAGCTCTTCTTGAAATGAAAATGACAAAACTATATCACTATATAAACTAATAATTTTGTGTTTTATTAAAAGAATTTAAAAATCTACAGAGTAAAAGGTGTGACAAGCTTTGACAAAATTTAATCTTAAATGCATTAACTGTGTTCAGTTCATGTCAATTTGGGATTCAGAATGCATTACATAACATTACATTACATTATTTGCTATAGAGCAGTAAAATCAACAATAAGTGGTCTGTTACTGCCATCTAGTTGCCACAGTTGTGATTTTCTTTACATATGTTTTAAAACAAGGTGTTTAATTATAGAACCAGTTTAGCCTATAAGAATTATTACACAGAGGTTAACTGTGTCCAAATTAGATGTTTAATGCATAGCAGTGTTTAAATCAGGTCAAAATGTGATTCAGAATGATCCTAAATGCAATTTCCCTGACTTTAAACTCAAAAAAATGTAGAACAACAAAGGTATGCAAATATTATGAACAATAAATAAGTGGTCTTGTTGTGACATCTAGTGGTTAGAAATGGTAGGTGACAGTTAAAAGTCTGTGTTATAGTGGCAAAAATGATAGAATACTGAAAATATGTGTTTTTGAGACCTTTAAACATCCAAGATGGGCAAAAAAACAACAACTTGTAAATCATTTCAGTGATAGGTGTGTAAATGAAGCACATTTACTGCATTTTTAAGCCATTTTATGATGTTTTTAGAACCATTTCTATCATTATAGCGCCACCTATTGCCCGATCACCACAAAATTTTGCATGTTTTTTCACATTTATATGGCACATGAGCTCATCAATTTCTGTGATGTTTTGGGTTTTCCTTATTGGTTTACAGGCATGTAGGTTCGTGTAGACACGCCCCTTTTGAAAATAAGCCTGTTACAGCTATCTAAAATGGAAAGTTCAACTTTTTTTTGATAATTATTGATCTACTCAGTCCAGAGGTTCATTTAACACTGGTTTCGTTGCGATTTAACTAAAAATCAGGGACTAGTTCGCAAAAGTATGTTTTGTACATATTGATGGTTTTTTAATGAACAGTTTGAGTGACAGCAGTGGGTTTAGTGTCAAACTGTTCAGTATGAGCAGACCTATCATTTGATATGTAGATTAAGTGTTTTTGTGAAATAGTGTTTAAATGAAGCACATTTACTTTATTTTTAAGCCATTTGGCATGTTTTTAAGACTATTTTTGCTATTATAGCGCCATCTATGGTTTGATCTTCACAAAATTTTGCAAGTTTCTTCTCAATGATATGGCACATGTGCTCACCAATTTCTGTGATGTTGTGAGTTTTCCTTATTGGTTTACAGGCATGTAGGTTCGTGTGGACACGCCCCTTTTGTAAATTAGCCTGTTACAGCTAGCCAAAGTGAAAAGTTCAACTTTTTTTTGATAATTATTCATCTACACAGTCCAGAGATTCTAACAACACTCGTTTTGTTGCGATTGAACTAAAAACCAGGGACTAGTTCGCAAAAGTAGGTTTTTCCTATATTGATGCATATTTAACGAACGGTGTGACTGACAGCAGTGGTTTTAGTGTCAAACTGTTCGGTATGAGCAGGCCTATCATATGATATGTATTTTGTGTGGTTTTGCAAAAGGTTGTGTGATACACAACCCATTACACCTTAAAATTGCGTAAAATCGCCCCCTAGTGGCCGATTTCTTTCAAAATTCTTACAGTCCTCTAGGTCCATAAGTCGAACATACCCAGCGAGTTTCGTTCCGATCGCTCATCGTTAACCTTGCTAAATGGCTGCACAATTTTAATTGGCTAATGGCGGCCATGTTTTTTGAGATGTGTCATTGTCCTTATAATATGTCATGGCAAACTGGTCAAAGACACTGCATGCCAAATTTCAAGCTGATCGGACTAACGGTTGTAAGGTTAGGGTCATTTTATGGTTTTTAAGCTTTATAGCGCCACCATGTGGCCAAAGTATGCTGTTTTAGCACTGTCACATCAAATTGAGCTTATGCATGTGTGTACCAAGTTTGGTGATGATATCTCATTCCGTTCAAAAGTTATAGCTCCACTTAGCATTTAGCTTCAATTAGCATCGAACATTGTTGTGTACTGTTTCAAGTGAGAATAAAAATGTCAACTTTTTTTTGATAATTATTGATATTCAGTGTCCAGAGAACATTTGAGAGCTGGTTTGGTTTAGATTGAGTGAAAAACCTAGGACTAGTTCGCAAAAGTAGGTTTCGGACAAATGGCGATGTAGCGGGGAAACGGTGCGTCGTAGAGAAAAAAGTTCTGCTATACACTTTTGTTCAGGTTAACCCAAGGATTCAAAAAATGTAAAGTTTTTGAGTCTACGACAAACGGTGAACGTATAGCGGCCAAAAATGTCCAAAAAGTGTTTTTTTGGCACCATAGCGCCACCTATGGTCTGATTTGGCTGATCTTTGGCCAGAACGTAGTGTACCGGAGTACTACCATCTGGCCAAGTTTCAGCTCTCTCGGCCTTACGGTTTGGTCTGGGCAATAGTGACTTCGGCAGAATAATAATAATAATAATAATAAATATAGCTGCAAGCAGCAATTAACGGGGGTCAAGCAGTTTAGCAGGGTAAGGTCATATAGCAGTTAGGATGCCTTTAAGTAGTTTATTCGACAACGAAATATACGATTAGAGTGTTAGAGTTTATAGATTGAGCTAACAAACGTTTGATTAAACACTCCAGAAATGAAACATCAGTTTTTACATATTGACAAATTTCTTATGAACATTTCGAGTGACCGCTTTTATGTCAAAGTGACCAGTATAAGCAGCCCTATGATATAATGTGTAGATCGAGTCATGGCACCTTAGACAAAGACACGACATGTCAAATTTTAAGTTAATCAGATAAATGGTTACTCAGATACAGTGATTTTACAATGTACAGCGCCAGCATGTGGCCAATGTCTATGTGTTTCATCCTATGACCTTAGACTGACCTCTTGCATATGTGTAACAAGTTTGGTGAAGATATTTTAATTCCTTCATGAGTTATGGCTATTTTAGCTCTTCTTAATAAAAATGACAAAAGAGCAGTGAATAAGCTATTCGTGATCTCCTACTGCCATCTAGTGGCCACAGTGTAATTTATTTATGTGATTACAGCCATTTAGGTGAGCATAAACATATCCCTTCTATTATTGAGCATGTTCTAACTGTATAAAAAGAAGATTTTGTATTTTATTAAAATAATTAAAAATCTACAGAGTAAAAAGTGTGACAAGCTTTGACTAAATTTGATCTTAAATGCATTAACTGTGTTCATGGCATGTCAGTTTGGGATTCAGAATGCATTACATTACATTACATTACATTCTTTGCTATAGAGCAGTAAAATAAACAATAAGTGGTCTGTTACTGCCATCTAGAAGCCACAGTTGTGATTTTCTTTACACATGTTTTAAAACAAGGTGTTTAATTATAGAACCAGTTTAGCCTATAAGAATTATTACACAGAGGTTAACTGTGACCAAATTAGATGTTTAATGCATAGCAGTGTTTATATCAGGTCAAAATGTGATTCAGAATGATCCTAAATGCAATTTTCTTGACTTTAAACTCAAAAAAATGTAGAACAACAAAGGTATGCAAATGTTTTGAACAATAAATAAGTGGTCTTGTTGTGACATCTAGTGGTAAGAAATGGTAGGTGACAGTTAAAAGTCTGTGTTATGGTGGCTAAAATGATAGAATACTGAAAATATGTGTTTTTGAGACCTTTAACATCCAAGATGGGCAAAAAAACAACAACTTGTAAATCATTTCAGTGATAGGTGTGTAAATGAAGCACATTTACTGCATTTTTAAGCCATTTTATGATGTTTTTAGAACCATTTCTATTATTATAGCGCCACCTATTGCCTGATCACCACAAAATTTTGCATGTTTATTCGCATTGATATGCCACATGAGCTCATCAATTTCTGTGATGTTTTGGGTTTTTCTTATTGGTTTACAGGCATGTATGTTCGTGTAGACACGCCCCTTTTGTAAATAAGCCTGTTACAGCTATCTAAAATGGAAAGTTCAACTTTTTTTTGATAATTATTGATCTACTCAGTCCAGAGATTCATACAACACTGGTTTCGTTGCGATTGAACTAAAAACCAGGGACTAGTTCGCAAAAGTATGTTTTGGACATATTGATGGTTTTTTTAATGATCGGTGTGAGTGACAGCAGTGGGTTTAGTGTCAAACTGTTCAGTATGAGCAGACCTATCATTTGATATGTAGATTAAGTGTTTTTGTGAAATAGTGTTTAAATGAAGCACATTTACTTTATTTTTAAGCCATTTGGCATGTTTTTAAGACTATTTTTGCTATTATA